CGTCCAGCAACTTTGCCCTGGCGAGTTGCCTTGATCAGAGAAGGCGGGGAGCATAGAGTGGAAAAAAGGATTGCGTTGCAGTTATCTCGGGGAAGGAGGGGGAGGCAGGAGGAGTAAACAGGGGACGAGGAGGACGCGGAAGAAGAGAGGATGTAAGGATAATGTGGAGAAAGAACGGGGGGGAGCAGGAGGACGAGGAGGGGGAGGAGGACGAGGAGGGGGAGGATGAGGACGAGGAGGGGGAGGAGGGGGATGATGATGATGATGATGATGATGATGATGATGATGATGATGATGATGATGATGATGATGATGATGGTGATGATGATGATGATGGTGATGATGATGATGATGATGATGATGATGATGATGATGATGATGATGATGATGATGCTGATGATGATGATGATGATGATGATGATGATGATGATGATGATGATGATGGTGATGAGGATGAGGATGGAGGAGGATGAGGATGAGGATGAGGATGAGGATGAGGATGAGGATGAGGAGAGGATGAGGATGAGGATGAGGATGAGGATGAGGATGGAGATGAGGATGAGGATGAGGATGAGGATGAGGATGAGGATGAGGATGAGGATGAGGATGAGGATGAGGATGAGGATGAGGATGAGGATGAGAGGATGAGATGAGGTGAGGATGAGGATGAGGATGAGGATGAGGATGAGGATGAGGATGAGGATGAGGATGAGGACGAGGACGAGAGGACGAGGACGAGGATGAGGATGATGATGATGATGATGATGATGATGATGATGATGATGATGATGATGATGATGATGATGATGATGATGATGATGATGATGGACGACAATGGAGGACGATGATGGAGGGCCGATGAGGGGGAGGACGACAATGGGAGGATCATGATGATGAAAGGACGAGGGGGGGAGAGGGAGGACGAAGAAGAGGAGGAGGAGGAGGAGGAGGAGGAGGAGGAGGACGAGGTGGAGGAGGAGGATGGACGATGACGATGAGGACGGGGACGAGGAAGAGGAGGAGGAGGCAGGAGGGAGGAGGAGGAGGAGGAGGAGGAGGAGGAGGAGGAGGAGGAGAGCGCCATCGACAGGGAAGATGGGGGCCACGAGGTCCGCCGCCTCGACGACGCCCGCGTCGCCCGCGCCAGCCCCCTCACTCTTATCCGCAATTGCGGGGTGCTACGTATGTGCAGATGCAGACTTACATAATCACCATTGTGTACTTGTGGACAATATTGCACACTGGTTTCACTAGACCTAGCAAGTGGAAGGTCAGCTGGCGCGCTGGCTTTCATGAGCAGAGTACGATGCACCGGCCGTGCGCGATTCAAACGACCGGCCGTGTAAGGTAGTGGTTCGGTTGCACGATCTACCACTCGATGGCATTGTATATCAACCCATGCCTTCATTTGTGTACATGTGTACATCCAGTGGACTTCGGTCCATGTCGCCACCGTGCCTGGGTTGTCGGTCAGAGGCCTTTTGGATGCATATGAGATGAATTGGGTGACCTTTACCCATTTGGAGACGGGTTTTGGTTTGTTTTGAAGCGTTTCGGGGGCCTCTTGGGGGCCTGTTTGGATCTGGGGGCCTCTATCTTCGGGCGAGGGCACAACATTTCAGTCCGTGCTCCCCCTCTTGGGTCCATGCTGGGGCTGTTTTGGGGACCCTGGGGGCTCTTGGGCAATGTTTGAGGCGCCTATTGGGCCGTCTTGGACGTTCTGAAGTCCAAAAGGGCGGTAATGCTGAAACCATGAAACAATGAGTAGTTTTTGAAGATGTTGGTCTTTGGGCCGTCCTCCGGTGCCTCCAACACCGCCCAGGAGGCGCCCAGGAGTTCTCCGGGACTGTCCTCGGTACCATCTTAGGCCATGTTGGACATGCGTGTCCCGAACAACGCGTTCTTGACCCCTGGAAAAGTCCCGTGGGGAACCCTACGGAGCACCTACGACCGCTTGGGAACGCCCTTCACTCTGGGATGTGGGCCACCAAATGATATTTGCGGTATTGAGCGCAAAGAGCTCGCAGGGACCTGAGAACATTCCAACTCGCGCCTCAGGGCACGGTGGCGGATATTCATGTATGTGTATATCGCTCTCCATCGGGTGTGTACAGACTTGTATATGTATGTATATGTGTGTCGATGCTGCTGACTGTCAACCTCACAGGCTGAGATGTATTGCCCCCCGATGCTCGTCACGTACGGGAGTTATGAACTACCCCTTTGTTGATTCTTCCTTTCATGGTGATGGTGGGTGCTGTTTGCAGTAGTGGTGATTCTGGCGGTGGCGGTGGCGATGTCGACGATGGTTGTGGCTATTCGTTCTATAATATCTCTGCTTGTCGATCCACAGGCTTGTAAGCTTGTCGCAAGTTGCGCGCGGCCTGCCTGCTCGCTGAACCCCGCTTGCGCCACGCGCCAAGCACGCCCGCGCAGCGGCCCAGTCGCCTGGTCCGCGGCCCATATGGGTCGCGTTCCTCTGGCCGCGACTCTGCTGGCA